TCGATTCTTGGATGTATCTTCTAAAATACAAAGTTAGCAATTTATTAATAAACTCTTTTTTAAAATATAACAATGAATATGTCGTGTTCAGTAGATACTTATATAATATGATGTCCATTGTTCCTTTTGAAATATAAATTATATTTTGTTAATTTGCAATTGGGTTATTATCAATAATAATGTTAATAAGTAGCATCTCGTTAATATCAAACACGTGTATCAGATCAGATCAGTCTTTTTTTCAAATAAAAAATAATATTATTTCTTTGAAGTGATTTTGAATATTTTGATTTTCTTGCGAATAATATTGAAATTCGCGTAGGTTTCGAAAATCCTTTAAGTATCTAATTTGCAAATTTTTCGTTGTATAAGGCGATTTACGGAGTAATTTGTCCAATTATTTCGCTCTTAAAATTGAGAGTAATTTTCCATACCGATGGGGTATTAGGGATATCAAACGAGAAGGAAAATAAGCAGATATAAATGATGTGATGACGCCAATAAAATCTATCGTTCTGTCGCCCCAATTGTTGTTTGACTCCCAATTCGACGAAAAGTTATGAGGTTTTTTTCTGTATCTTCACTATAAAGAAGTAAATATATTTATAAACATTATTCATATTGTATGCACACAGCCTTAATAAGTAGTGAAAATTTACTTTTTATTTTTTCAGAAGAATATATTGTATGTGTTATCGTGATGTTAGAATATGAGGGGTCATTTTTATTTGGAACTCAATATTCTATAATAAGAGCTTTTCGGTTTTTTTGTATCTCCACGACGTTAAAGTTGAAGTTGAAAAATTATAATATTTTCTTTTATTTTCGAATTAGGACACCATAATTTTTTGCATTTGGACTCTTAATACAATGTAGAAATATATATTTACAGATAAATCTTTTATAAACAGCTGAAATAGAGAATTAATAAAAATAATAATCCACCTATATTTTATTTGGTTCACTAATTGAACCCCTAAATGACAAAATAGTGTATGAAAATTTTCATAGAAGTTTCACAATTGAAAGTTATGTGGGAACTATATAATTAAATAAAATTTATTACATTTATTTCTGTTTTATAACATATATTGTTTGTAGAAGAAAATAAATGTAGTGTAGAATTTAAGTTCAGTTACATTGTCAGTGGATGTAGTTAAGTCTACGGGGAGTGAGTTTATGGTAGCATGTAGATTTCGTTGTATCCAGTCTCTATAAAAGCGCTTTACGTCATGTTATATTGCATGTAGTATGTAGTATAACTGTTGATTTGTAATGTGTAAGGACTATGATGTAATTTTTGACATTTTGCTTTTCAGAGATTGCAATGGATATAGGTAGCCAATACTCTATACATTGTATTTTGTATTATCATGCGTTTTAGTACCTCTGACTCCTGACTATGCTTAGACAACATATAATAGGTTAGTCAGGGAGAACTTCCAATATCCGTCATATCCATCCAGAGATTTTTTATTGTAGTTTTCTAACATCGACAGTTCACAATTTTATTTATATATGTATTTCATTATCCCATCTAGGACAACATTTGTGAAGGTATATTTTTTAGGTATTTAAAATATTGATAAAATATTTGTAGAATAGTATGATTTTGTATTATCTATAAGATAGTAAAATTTTATTATGCGAGTACGTCTGAATCATTAAAATATAGTAGAATTAAAATGAAGAACTCAATTGGTTAGTGAAACAAAACACTTGGAGCTCGTTTTTCCTATTACATCTCCTGTTTCCACCTAATTAAGGTAAGCAGCTGTAGGCGCCTATTCGCTCTCCGCCTGAAAACAAGGAGTGGATACTTGTTTCAAGTACGGTTTAATATTGTACGCCCACCGTTATATATAACGTGAAGTATCAAGCTATCAAGAGCGATTTATTCAGCATTCGAGTAATACCTTCACTGTTTCCATGAAAACGAACCATTACAAGTATCAGTGATTTTATTATATTTTTCATTTCATTTTTATACATGTAAACAAAAATAGACATGTGGAAATAGTTGCTGGGGAATCTGTATTGTATAATTTTTAATATCGGCGTACGCTTTTGCTACCAATACTTCACGGTAATATGATTCCAGGAAGCAGTAAATCGTAGAAAGTGCGAAGCGGGAATGGGGAAGTGGCGGCGAGATTAATTTCACATGATGAACGATGAACGATGACGATACAATTTACAATTTTTCACTTAAAATACAAAACTTTGTCAATGACAATATGTCCTTGTGTTTAAATAAATATATATCTATAAAATATTGTTCATTTCGTATATTAAAGTAATGTATTCATATTTGGAACATAGCATATATTTGTTTTGAATATTTAATTCGAATCTGATGCTTAAATCGACGTATTCAGTTACATAACATCAAAAGATACGTTGCGAAAACTAAGGTCGCCTATATTCGATACAGTATGTATACATGCCGAGATTATCCTACGTTAAGCAAACAACCGTCCACAAAGCTCCGACGTACAGAGAACACACGTGAACTATGCTAACGAAAAGACGATAAAACCTTTATCTTATTACGCATATACTCGTATTCTCGCCGAAACTGAAGCGGGTTAGTATATCCTGTTTCTTTTTATTTGTCTCTTTTTTCGGGCTTAAACTTACCCGTTTAGTTTGTTGTATAAAAGACATTTGTTACGGGTTATATTTATTCCGCATCTTTACAAGTTATAGCAATATCAATAATCTTTGTTCAAATAAATTTAACGTAAGGACGTCTGCATAGTTATTTTAAATTTTGCATTTAGTACGCAGATTCAGCCGAGAAGAATGAGTAAGAAACTTGCCTGTGTCTCCGTTGGTCTTTTAAACATATTCTTTAACGCAAAATATCCAACTATTAATTGAAATGACAAACAAGCTGACGACCTACCTGATGGTAAGTAGTAAGTAACCATAGCGTAAATACATGATGTCTTTGATACCACTCATGAATTGCCATTTCGAATGACCTATTGTCCTGAAATGGATGATAGTATTCTTCAATCTTCATTTTTTTGTGAATACAAACTACCAAATAGTATGAATTCACAACAGTAAAATACACTACGCTGTGTGTCCCTATGTATGCTTTTAAATCTTTAAAACTACGCAACTGATTTTGAATCGTGTTTTTAATAGATAGAGTGATTCAAGAGGAATGTTTATATATATAATACATGTACACACGTGCGAAGCCGGGGCGAGTAGCTAGTTAAATATATAGACATTTGTTTAAACAAACTAGGTCTTATATCGGTCATAGCAGAGCAGTCCTTTTAAATATTATAAAATAACCAGCACGAATAATCTCCAAACAAATAACAAATAGTAATAATAATAATTAAGCATGTATCTAGAAAAAAGATATGGATTGCTGGTATAACTTGAACAGGCTTATAAGGGGTTACCAAATTCAAAATCTGTAGTCACCAGTAAACTCCAACAAATAGCGATCAATTTCGAAACCAGAACTTCGCGTATACGTAACAATAGACAGAGTATATATTTTTAAAGGTTTTCGCTGTCTGCTTGTAAAGAATGATCCGCCGTCTCGGGCGACACCATTACTTCTCGTGGCACATGAAAAATTCATACCGCAGCCGTTTGATCGCGTTAACGTGGTGTGTCGCCGCGCGCGCATCCTCCGGGGGACGGTATAACAGCGGCTTATAGCGCACCAAGCTGCACTGTTTACTCCATACTCATCATAACAGTTATCTTGAATCTATTCTAAGGGCATATACTCACTTCTATTACATATAGGTATCTAGTCTTTTATTGAATTTTATTTATTGCTAGCTATATGTTTTACAAGTATTTATATCTATATTGCATTGTATCGGTCATATTGAATAAATATTATGTATGAAAAAATAATAATAACTGAACAATCCACAAGAGTCATCTAATTTGGGACTAGATCTTCAACACAAACAACACTAGTTCAACTTCTGCTTAGGAGAGCTTGAATAATGGGTAATAGCAAATCTGCTACCCATTATTCAATATGTCATATAATAGGTAATAGCAAACTAATTAAATTCAATTTTTGTTTGTAAATATGTACATATATACATAATAGATATCGAAACACTTAGACAGATACAAACAATAATTCTCATGAATACAAATGTCTACACCCTGCGAGAAGTCGAACATGCGATCATTGGATGCAAAGCACTGTGCTAAACCGCTACATGACCAAAGATTTAGAATATCCAGCTATCCAATATTTTTTTTTGTATTTGTTATTGAAATCGGTGCGCTTTTAATACTGGCCGGCGTGGTGTAGACGTGTGAGTTTATTGCATGTCTGTACCATGCCGGCCCAGTGTTTCTACTCGACTTTTCTCCAGTTTGTTTATACAATATACAGTGGATATGGTAATAGCTAGAGCTTGGAAACATGCACAACGTAAAGACTAACTGCAATGTTATAGTAGAACTTAAAAATAATTAGGTCTCCTGCGTCAATCCCATAAATAAAATTTGATCAAGAATTTGTAGAAATATCTGCCTGTGTACTTACTTCGGTATGCTAACACATGAGTAGTACCATGGGCATTACATCATAACGTGATGAACGTGGTTCTGATCTATGTATATGGGCAAGGATTTGCATTTATCATCAGGTGGGTCGCCAACTTCTTTGCCATTGTAATTACCTTCAAAAATTAATTAAGTGGAGTAACTACTCAGAAATATTTGTTAATATACTTTCTTACCCACATACATAGTCGTAATAGTTCATTTTCTCAGTAGTAATGTATATATTGACTTTAATAAGTATAAAGCTCTGTGGCCACATAATTATCGCACTAATTATTTCATCAACTGAGTTTATACTAAAGGAATCATAACATGATTTGTATACAGTAGCTGTTGTAACCAAGAGCGACATTGCCCAGGGCAATATTTCCATGAACTACTGGTAGTTCAATTATACGCTAAGAATTTAGCACTAATTGGCTTTATTGTTTCAGTCGATTTGCTGCAAATGTTGGAATTCAACGTAACAGTTTCATTTCCCGCTGCGCCGCTGCTTACAGTTATATTGGCACTTGTCGGTAAGTGTTTTGTTAATATACTACTAATGAGAAATCCAATTTACCCATAATATTATGGTTAGTGATTTCGTAATAGTAGGGGCGTAGTGGATTAGTGGTTTATCGACGATGTGCATTTTCATATCTAAAACACAGAAAAATTAACCTATGGAGTAAGTAATGGACGCCGCGGGGGTAGGTTCGCCCACTGAAATATATTTTAATATACCCATCAAAATGCATGCATCCGATTTATCATTTTTACCATGATTTTGATAATTGACAATGTCTCTAAGATAACAATTGTGGCGTAATATTTTATATATATGTATGTTTCGTATTTCATTACAGTAGGTACCAAAAACATTGACTGTAATAATGAGAAACGATTTAAATTTAGAGTTGGAGTTTTATAAATTTACTTGTGTGTATGGCATTTGTTTTAATAGTGTTATTATTGTGTTAGTTTACATTATATATTTCAAAGAAGATTGATGTGCGAAGTAAGATTAGAGTTATAACGTTATTATAACGTATGTAAGTTAGATTTTGTTACAAGACAAAGTAACTCTTTGCTGTTATATAAAAAACAGGTGGGGACTGCGTAGAAGAATCTTTGACTAAATGCAAATAGTTAATTAGAAAGTGTCTTACTACACTAACAGATGGTATACTTTTTTTTAAGGATTAAAGTGGATATCTTATGTATACCATACAGTCTGCTTCAGTGATTTAGACCAAATAAGACTTATTATAATAAGTGTGTGAGTAAGTGAATGAATGTTAGGTTTATAAACCATATTATTTGTAATAAAAATGAGGCTAATCATTTCTTATGTTATAATTACTACTATAGTTGTAATTAGGTTATCTGATATTTAATAAAAGTCCTTAAATATTGCGTAAGAAAATATTCCTAATTCCAATTAGAAGTAGTTATAATTATGTCTGTCAACAAATTATAATGAATTCAGGTTTCCTCGGTACCGTCAATATCTCGCCGCCATATCCTGTCTCGTAAGTGCGTTACACCCGTCCCGTTGGGCTATTTTTCGTTTGGCGTCTTCATGGTAACGTTAGTAGGTCGGTCGATTCAACAAGTCGGGTGCGGCGCCTGTTGCGCGGGGCGGGGCGCCTGTTGCGCCTCACAGACGCCACCGCCGCCCACTCCAGTAACGCCCGTGCTGCCCATGTTACTTCTGACCTGGTTATATTTCCACTCGTGTTAGTTCTATTACAGATTTCGCACAGCGATTCCATATGTACGTAAACATAGTAATTGATATGTAATCACATTTTGTTGTAACTGGCCATCGCCAACTTCGCCTGGCTTCCGTAACATACGGTTACGTAGTACATAGGAGCCTTGTGTAAAAATATACCATATCTATTATTTCAGTCGCCTAGCAGCTCGTGGTGTGAACTGTATCGAGTTTGTAGGGTGAGGTATGCCAACTGTATAGATATGCCACCTTAGTTTTCCGGAATGGCAACGCATGAGGTACTCCACAGAGCTCTCAAGGGTGTTACATGATGACTTAATGTCCAAGGTATAGGTATATAGATGACGATTACCACTTACCATCACATAGAGCAGCATATTGATTGCCATTATTAAAATATACCGTAGGTAAACGAGAGCCTTTCAGAATGATTGTTTGGAAATAAATTCTGTATTTTAATACGTACACACAAGAGACCTTTGCGACTCACAAGATGTTAGTTTTCTATCACTAACGATATGTATTTCATATCCTTTAACATATACTACCGTCTGAGATAAATATGCACATGGCAGTCTGCTAGTGCTGCCATATATTTTTATGTACATTGCGGGATTTACTTTTCACATCCCTCTTTTCATTTATGAGTTGCAACTAATATTAAATATAGTAATATAGCAGTCTATATTTAGTAATATATACCTTATGACAATTATCCCTGAAATACGAGTAGTTGGAGACGTAGTCAATTGTCGACACTATGATGAATACAACAATTGACATGGCCACTTTTTCGATATATTTGACTCTAATGGGGTAGGAGGCAATCCTATCACTTCCTCTCAGAAAAAAAGCAGTTGATAATAAAGCTATTTTTACGGAGGCAAACTTTGTAAAAGAATATTAATTTTTTCTCACCCATTTCAGCCGCTAAGCAGTTTGCTTTTTGACTGTATTTCATTTAAAGATAATTGGGTAAGAAATGATTGGGTATGTAGTTATGATATCTCACTATTCCAAAATGGAAAAGCAAGACTTGTGCCATAGAAGTAACTGATGTGAATGAAGTAATAATATCTGTGATACTGTTGCCACTTATCATCATGTGGGCAGTATGCTTATTTGGCATTAAACTAAACCTAATAATTATGAAAACAATAACAACGTAACGTAACGAAAATATTTATCATCTTCTCTGCGTGTAGTGCGGATCCTTAATGTGTACTTCCGCTCCTCTACGGAAGATGTGAACCATAATAAGTTTCCTGCTTATAATATTTTCTTTATTACGTTCGTCGTAAGAGTTCCGTACAGTATATTACTATAGGATTTTATTATATTTTATTTTATAGAAACATATAAAGGGCAATATTAATTGTAATTTAATTAACATGCAATATCTAGGTTAAAAGCCCAATTAATTGGTATATTGGGTGTCACCACCAAATTATATGCATTTACTTCTATGGGACATATTACATACATATATATATTATGATAATGATGGAATTTCGTGTTTCCAATGTCTTTCGTTTTTTTTGCATATAAATAATCTCCTTAATAAATACAAATATTCCGTTAAATTAGTCTTTCAAAAATAAGGTAGTGTTCTTGGTACCTATTTTGATGAATCTATCAACTGTCATAGTAGTCGACCAAATAAAAACCTATTTATAAGGAATTAAGGAGTTTTAAAGCCTATATATAACACATATTTTTAATGACTTTATGGAACCGAGACTTACAATTCCTTTATTATTATAATATATAACTCTATACCCTGTAGCAGTAACAGGGAATGTGGACAATTTTCTAACACCTTTTATATGGAGTTTCTTTACGCTTGGTGGCTTATGGGGTAGATATTTTATGTGATGACATTAGAGTTGTATAAATGTTTTAAAATTGTTAATAATAAAAATTACTACTTAACCTAAAAGAAACAACCATTTATTTTAACGAAGGACTTCCATTAGTGAAGGTATCGCTAACTTAATTTTTGTTATTCAGCTCTGGCTACTCTTGTAAGTAACTCCGGAGCCATTTTCATTCAATATAAACAATCGGCTTCTGTTTTTACTCGGTAAACAAAACAATAGCAACAGATAAAGGCCGAGCTCTTAGCTACTAACAAGGGGATCGAGTTGTGAAATTAGCAATTTATTATTGGTATTGGATTTCTACTAATTCTCTAGTACAGCGGATGAATATTGGTTGAAGTTTCATAAGCAAAATTTACTGAACTTCTTCGGTTACTTACCTCGATCTAGTCAAGATTGTAACTATAAGTTATAATGTAATTTTCCCAAAAAAACTTTCTAACGTCAAAACTCTAGTGAACAATATATTAAACGCGAAGCAATAGCCTAATTAATATTTGTTATCTTGTAATCTTAAACAAATAAGAATTATAACCTTGGACAAATCACACAGTACCATGTAGTCCCAAGCTAAGGTACCCATAACACAAAATCGTGTTATGGGTACTAGACAACTGATTGAAATACTTAAACACATTTTTTTATCAATAACACAATATAAATAGTGAGCAAACAGACAATATTTGCAACGAGCGAGGAATCGAACCCGCGACCATCAAACGTGTACTGAACCGCTAGACGATTGAATAGTGTATAAAAACTAGGTCTCCGATTTAACTCGGATATAGTAATGAATAATGTCAGTTTATCTTGTTACATTATTACCATGTAAAGAAATAAAATGACAATAAAATTATACAACCATAATATGTTGCAATATTTTTTATGATTAACACAAAAAATATCAATATGTTCTAATATGATTGATATTTTTAAATTTATTGAGGTTGTTTTACTTTATTTTTGTGAACCCTGCCTGCGTACCCTGGACAATTTTGATGTTACAATGTTTTATTTAGTAAAAAAAATTGAATCAATTTAAATTATATTGAATAAATAGGGTTACATTATTGACTGAAAATTGTTCTGAGAATTTTTAATATTACAATCTGATTAAAGCAGAAACGTATTACGAAGATAATAAAATTCTTCAAAGGAAATAGGAATACCAATTTGTTTTAGTACGATGCATAATGTCAATATTATTTCTCATTTCTTCTTTAGATGAAGACTAATTTTGTATAAAATTATTTCCAATTGAAATGCGGAACAAATGAGTGGAGCTCGTAAATTGACAGCCACAGCCTTTGTGTTTTAAGTTCTCTAATATTAAATATACCTTACCTTTATACCTTTTGCAACTTTTTCTTAATAAATATTTTGTTTGTTGTTGTTAAATTGAACAATTTGAATTATTACAATATAAAAATACTACTGGTTTCGCATATCCGATAAATATAGGATTCCAAAGATAACTGTAACTATTATTATTTACGACTTTCTGCATAGTGATAAATGCCTCAAACTCCTATTAAATAGCTCCAAAGACATACATACTTATTTTAAAAAATCAATGCTTATAAGGAAACTTTTGTTTTAGTTTGACGTTTTATAACATAAATAAAAAATATCCAGTTTCTTTTATACTTACATATAGAAATGGTCTTTGTTCAAATATACTTAATATTTTTTAATAGTCATATTTTTCTTCATTAGTACAGTCTATTTACAAGAAGATGGAATAAGAAACGTTGTTGATCAGCATTGCATTTCTAAGACATTATAAACTGTCAAATATGACGTAAGAAAATAAATAGTTACTTGAGTAACAAAATAATTTAGTCATAGTTATCAGAGCAGACCAGTTAGTACAAGCAAAAGTGTTAAAAAAATAATACACATGCAACACTATCACTAC